CTAAAAGTCAACTAAAAGGTTATAAGGAAGCACACAGCGAGGTAAGAGCTGTTTAATATATCTTATTATAAGGGGAAGAAGCAGCAAAGTAGACACTGTTTGTGGTAAACAGCCATTGAAAAGTCATCATTGTGGTACCACTCACAAAAGGTGCATTAGTTATGTTGTTTCTCTCTCAGTAATGACTTGAAATCCTCAGGCAGGGATTATTAAAGTGCTCTTACATAAAAGCCAGAGGCTGCTCTCTCTGCCACTCTTAAAGGTGTCTGCTTCATGGAGCTGCATTAAAAACAACCACACACAAGGTATGTCGGTAGCACACAGTTTAAATGTGACAGCAAAAACAACAGGTCAGAGTTCAGCGTGATAAGACGGACTCACTCTGTGTTTATGAACACTGTGACATTCTGGTGTTATTTATGTCCGTCGGTATCTACAAGAGGTGGGGTATAGGGCTTAAGAATGATAATATTTTCCATAAGGAGGAAAAGCATCCAGAGATGTTGGGTTTCTTGTGTGTGAAAGAGCAAGCAGCCGGAGGCCCATACCTATCTCTGAGTTTATCGTCAACCAATGTGCTAGGAAGTCATGTGAGGAAATGTCAGGTTGAGGGTCTGCATATAGAACATGGGAAAGTCGACATTGTGGCAGAGGTTAGTGACAAAGCCAGGTTCACACAGACCTGTTTGACTGGAAGAACAATGAGGTTCACACATGATTCATCCCGGGGCTCTTCCTCGACGCCAGTGTAATACAGGAAAAGATGCTGCTGGTGTCAGGGCAGAGTGGGACATCCACTGGGCCCACTTCCCTTTCCCAGTACGTCTCAGCTGTACGCCTCTAAAGACAGATTTCTTCCTGCTGACACGTACAGTGTTTGCAAAGACAATACTTTTGGTTTTGAGGCTGAACATGATGGATACACTTCCTATCTCAGGTTAATGGACTCTCTCACTTATAGTGCTGTGGACTGTGCATGGCCTGTAGCCAAGTCAGGGAGGCCACTTTCCAAACATGTAAGCACTCTTCCACTCTCATGCACCTAATTGAAGCCTGGAAAGTAAATGTGCTATGACAGCGACTCTACATCACAATACATTCCAGCAGCTCCCCCAAATAGTCACATGGCCTCCTTTCATCTGCAACATGAGCACAAAAAGTACAGAGAAACACTAAAGAGGGACTCCCGCACTCACACTTACTCCTTAGAAGTGATCTAAGCAGCTACCTTCTCTAAAGTGCTCAGAAAAGTCGCTCTTGTTAAAACATGCCCAATCCTTTCGCTGCCAGAGAGCTGTTAATCCCAACAAGGCAGCGCGCCCCTAATTCCCAGGGAGCTGGAACCTGCCGTTTGTTGATGTGTTGTGTAGCGACAAGCAACAAGGCCTCAAGTTAAAACACCCCCCCTTTCCTTCTTTTGGGAGCCGTTTGTGTTTTACATAGGGAAAGGTTTGTGGTGCAAGCAAATGTTGTATAACCTTTACATGAAGAGGACATTTGAATCAAAGTATGATATGACATAGTGTTGAAGTGGATGTCTTTCTCACAATGAATCCAACATGGCACTCACATAATGATGAAGGACTCTAAATATGAGACCCCATTGTGCTGGTATGTCCATTTTAACAAAATCCACCTCAGTGCCATTCATGGAAGAAGTACTCAGATCCTTTCATTTGTCCTTTTTCCTATCATGAAAGTCAGTTTAAGTGTCACATATAGTGGGGCAAAAAAGTATTTAGTCAGCCACCAATTGTGCAAGTTCTCCCACTTAAAAAGATGAGAGGCCTGTAATTTTCATCCTAGGTACACTTCAACTGTCTATGAGAGACAGAATGGAGGGAAAGAATCCAGGAAATCACATTGTAGACATTTTAATGAATTAATTGGTAAATTCCTCGGTAAAATAAGTATTTGGTCACCTACAAACAAACAAGATTTCTGGCTCTCACAGACCTGTAACTTCTTCTTTAAGAGCCTACTCTGTCCTCCACTTGTTAACTGTATTAATGGCACCTGTTTGAACTCGTTATCAGTATAAAAGACACCTGTTCACAACCTCAAACAGTCACACTCCAAACTCCACTATGGCCAAGACCAAAGAGCTGTCAAAGGACACCAGAAACAAAATTGTAGACCTGCACCAGGCTGGGAAGACTGAATCTGCAATAGGTAAGCAGCTTGGTGTGAAGAAATCAACTGTGGGTGCAATTATTAGAAAATGGAAGACATACAAGACCACTGATAATCTCCCTGGATCTGGGGCTCCACGCAAGATCTCACCCCGTGGGGTCAAAATGATCACAAGAACGGTGAGCAAAAATCCCAGAACCACACGGGGGGACCTAGTTAATGACCTGCAGAGAGCTGGGACCAAAGTAACAAAGGCTACCATCAGTAACACACTATGCCGCCAGGGACTCAAATCCTGCAGTGCCAGACGTGTCCCCCTGCTTAAGCCAGTACATGTCCAGGCCCGTCTGAAGTTTGCTAGAGAGCATTTAGATGATCCAGAAGAGGATTGGGAGAATGTCATATGGTCAGATGAAACCAAAATAGAACTTTTTGGTAAAAACTCAACTAGACGTGTTTGGAGGAGAAAGAATGCTGAGTTGCATCCAAAGAACACCATACCTACTGTGAAACATGGGGGTGGAAACATCATGCTTTGGGGCTGTTTTTCTGCAAAAGGACCAGGACGACTGATCCGTGTAAAGGAAAGAATGAATGGGGACATGTATCGTGAGATTTTGAGTGACAACCTCCTTCCATCAGCAAGGGCATTGAAGATGAAACGTGGCTGGGTCTTTCAGCATGACAATGATCCCAAACACACCGCCCGGGCAACGAAGGAGTGGCTTCGTAAGAAGCATTTCAAGGTCCAAGTGGCCTAGCCAATCTCCAGATCTCAACCCCATAGAAAATCTTTGGAGGGAGTTGAAAGTCCGTGTTGCCCAGCGACAGCCCCAAAACATCACTGCTCTAGAGGAGATCTGCATGGAGGAATGGGCCACAATACCAGCAACAGTGTGTGAACACCTTGTGAAGATTTACAGAAAACGTTTGACCTCTGTCATTGCCAACAAAGGGTATATAACAAAGTATTGAGATGAACTTTTGTTATTGACCAAATACTTATTTTCCACCATAATTTGCAAATAAGTTCTTTAAAAATCAGACAATGTGATTTTCAGGATTTTTTTTTCTCATTTGGTCTCATAGTTGAAGTGTACCTAGGATGAAAATTACAGGCCTCTCTCATCTTTTTAAGTGGGAGAACTTGCACAATTGGTGGCTGACTAAATACTTTTTTGCCCCACTGTACATGTAGTAGACTTAATCGTACTATATCCCCTCTGAAATGTAGAGTAGTAGAAGTATAAAGTAGCTTAAAATTAAAATAATCAAGTCAAATACAAGATAGAATTGAAATTTTTTATTAGTTACTTTCCACAACAGTTTCAGTGTCCAGTGCTATTAGAGATCTCCGGAAACAATGAGCATGGATTAAAGTTAAGAGTCTTATTATTATCTCTTCCTAAGACCACACAGCACATGTTGCTCCACTCGGACACTTTGCCTGCATCATCACATGCAGAGCGTAGGAAACACAGCGAGGCTGCTCCGGCACGCAGAGACTATTCTCCTCTTATCAATAATAGTCCCTATAAATGAGTTGAAATATCTATTCCTCATTTACATTATGCTGCAGATTTACTGTTCATAATCAATTGCTAAAGTCAAATTAACAGAACTCAACATATGAAAAAGTGAAACACTATAAGAAGTTAAACATGTCTGATTGCAACCTCTAATTCAATTGGGAACCTTTATTGAGTCAGAGAATCCATCGGGAGAAAGAGGGGAACAAATAAATAAAATAATAAGTTAGTTTTGGAGTAAACCATGTACTGTTACAAGATCACGTGCATGTATTTGTTCCTTTGTCTACACTACTTGTATAGGAACACATGCATCAAATAAATTGACCCTGTAATTCCTCCCCATCTGTTATTCAATTATTTATTTATTTCAGTATTGCATGCTTGTTGTCGTTCTTGATATGTTTGTCTTTGAAAATGTACCATGAAATCTAAAAGTTAAAACATTGGGGCACCTATATCAAGAGGTAACCGTCTCTAAATAAAGCAACATTTCAAAAGTGCTTGATAGATACAAGTCTATCCAAGTAAAGGACAAATATAAAAGAGTAAAGGATTATGATACATGTTTGTGAAAGGGTCTTGAGGCTACAAAAACACATTTCAACAAGACTGATGACCCAAGAAACACTAAAAGAAAAAGGATATTTTTAAAGTTAAAGCTGTGGATATCAAACTCTTGTGAGCGCTGACCTGTAACTAAACGTTATTGTACCATAGAGGCAGAGAATGGTAAAAGAAAAGCCTAATGTTGTTCAAATGATTAGCTGGAATGTTCAATATATTCAGTAAACAATGACTGATGTTTTCAGCGCATGAATCACCACACATTCCTCTCCCCAGCACGTTATTACAGTAGCTGCTTTTAACATTAAAATAGATATCATTCTGGCTCTGAAATGACTTGATTCTGGATCAAACCGCCCACCTACTACACTTGCTCAGGGGAAAGCGGAACGATGGCCTCGTTTCCTGCCAGACTTTACTACTGCCTCCATGTGGCTTTAATAAAGAAAGGCTTATGTCTGTGCATTAATAACAGACAGTGTGTTGGTGGAGGGAGGCATTAGAGCCGCGATAGAAGTCCGAAGGGCAGGATTACTAAACAAATAACCAGAAAAGTGAGAGCTTTAAACAAAAAAACTGGTATTATGAAGAGTCAGTAAAAGCTGAATGAGTTACTAACTATTTGTTATGGGATCAAATACGATTTAGCAGCCATTACATTTAAAATCCCTGTTTAAACAAAACACATGAGAATTATTTAATGTTTACTTCAATTAGCTTTAGCTCAATAATGAAACGCACCTCCCAAAACTCACAAAGGCAACTCAAACATTTCATTGTACAATAAACCTTTAATAAATAGTTTGTCATTAGTTTCCCATATTTACATAATAACCACCATTTACTTATGTTGCCATACTCATTTCTTGGCTAATTTTAGGCACACAGAGAGGGGGGTTCAGGCCACAAACCACATCGTACTAAAAACAGGAGTGGCTAGCAGGTAAGTCTTGAGAAATATAGAATAATAATTGCACCATACAACCAAATAGACCAAGAGGCGGCCGTCTCCTTGAGCGATAGATATATACATTAGCTGTACGTACAGGTGACGTTTGTACATTTAGTCGTCTGCTTGGAAAATGTACGGGTGCACATGGGCTGGTGCAGAATCTTACCAATTTGTGTAGGATCTGAATTGTTTACCAATGTGTTGGTCCAATAAATGATAAAGAACTATATGATATTTAGAGAATAAATCAACACCGATGGCCTCCTGTCTAGTAACTCCCCTTCTGAAATAATAAAAACTAGGACAGGTTAAGTCAAAATGTTGAGGGTATAGTGTGGTCAACATGTACAACTTGGCTTCAAACATTCAGTGACTTGTTATCTACTGATCACTCTGGGAAACATATCAAATGAAACAGTGAAACACAGTGACATGCTTGTTGTTAAATGAAGATTGAAACTGAACAGACAGATTAACCATCTAACCAAAATGTTGACAAGATTCCTAAAAATGAGCAGATGAAGTTTGAGCACTAAAACTTAAATCTTCAGCCAAAGAAATTAAGACACACAAAAGAAAATATTCAAATCACTCAAGTGTCAAGCACACGTACACACACACACACTGTATGAAAAAGCAAACCAAGAAAAATAAAACATTTGGCACAAAATATAAGACGAACATTTCTCTTCAGATAGACAGCGTCACACCCACTTAGCTTCGAGTCCGTGTCAGGCTTTGATTTAAATGCATTTATAAATGAACTTCTAGGATCCTTTACCGTTTTCTCGTGCAGTTTGTGAACAAAAGGGATCACAGTGTCACTGATGCAACACCCCAAAATAGGTGCAGAACTAAATCATTGGATCATGGAGCTGCAACAGTTTCTGAGGGTCATGTTGAACCTGAGCCACCTATTGGCTGGAAAGGATGTGAAAAAACCACTGGCTCGATTGGACTAAAACTTGTTTAAGGGTGAGGCATCGACCAAGGAATGGATTTAAAATCACAGGTTGCTTAATTTGAATGTATACTAGAGGGTAGAGGGTAGGATCAAAACTCATTCTAATCCCGGGTTTTTTTTTCATTCCGTTTGAAAGGTTTGTCTCATGTCATGTAGTTTTGTGTTGTTTTAAACTCATGGGTATTTAGTTTCTATATTTGAGTAATTTGCATTGGTTTACTAGGATGTGAACACTGTTAATTCCATGTTTTTATGAATGAATACTATGGAACTTGATTCTCGAGAGACACTTTATGATGGAATAGTTTTCGTTTTTTTGTGGGCATTTTAAAACTTCAAACCACCTGCAGCTGTCACATCTGCTAAACTCTAAGCAGCTGTTACCTTCCTTGCCTGTAGGGGGCAACACATATTTGTTTGGCAACAAACTTGTTCTCCTAAAGGTGGTGCGGGTTAAAGTGCACACACAGGTCTGACAATAACCAAATGGCTCCTTTTGTGGAGAATCGGATGCATACACAATTGCGAGTTAAAAGCCAGTTCCTTGAGATGCTTCCCATCTGAAATGTCTACCATCTGTTCATTACAATTTGAGAAATATGCAGTGCCTGTTGACTGTATGAAGATTCCATTAAACGCCAGGGATTCTGTGAAACCGTTTCTTTGCTCATCACATCACACTTAACCTTTGAATTATCTACTGCAGCAGCACGAGTGATATTCTGTTTAACCTAATGATATGAATTCAAAGACTCTGTATCCTGATAGCGACTCCTCTCTAGCTACAAATGTTCCAGAAGCTTATGAAATTAAAAACCATGTTTTTTTGTAAGCCTTAACCATGATGGTGATAAATGTCCGGTAACGAATTAACGAGGGCGTGAAAACAGGAGGAATAAAAAGTGTGTAACGGCTCCGATGGGAGCGATAGCGTAAAGATTACAGAGCCTTCTCAGACCTCGGTCTTCATACAGGTTACATAATTAATATATATATTTATATATATATATATATATATTAAGTCACTTCGAGGCAACATTTGTTTCTTGAATAAAAACTTGAAGCACAGCTAGCCTTCAGTTTCTAACGGAGAAAATATACAACCCAAACTATACTACTAATCTAGAGAATGGCAAGTAAACATTGAGAAACAGTTTCTGTTAATAAAGTAGTCTCTCCCTCTCTCACACTCCTCTCTGTAAGAAGTGTGATGTTGCAACAAAGTGTGGTCTTACGAAGCTTTTTATATCGGAACTGGTTGACCCATCCTGACCTTGATTAGGCAGCGCTCTCCAACAGAGACTCCCCTCGCAGGTTTCTGCTGTACATTCAGAGGAAGATCTGAGTTCACTTCTCAGAGACTTTAACAGAGCTGCATCACAAGCATCCAATCAGAGGTTAGCTCGTGGAAAACCATTAGACCATAAGTGCTCAACTATCTGTTTGTTAAACCCTCGTTGGACAAGCAAAGTTGCCACTTCACTGGCTTCAGAGGAACATGAATTATCACACAGGGATTTAGTAACATTTGACCCCAGCCTCACTTCTAGACCAAAACACCCTGGTTGGTTTTGCACCAGGAGAAGGTGGTGGGGGGGGCAAGCTGTTGTTTGCTCTCCGTCACTGCTTTAATAGAAACCAAGGATAAGAGTCCAGCTCAACCAGGTCACACACACCTTTCCACTGCAGCCCAAACTAATTATCCTCAACACACTCTTTCTTTATAACGGGGCGCTTTGAGAGTCTTCCCTATACCCTGCTTTAAAAAAAAGGAAGAAAAGGGCTGCTAAGTTAGGGGTGCTCACTTTTTGTGCCGTGGACACAAACACCTCTTGGTGGCACTTGAGTCTGATGTGTGCCTGAGGTGAGTGTGTGTCCATGTGGTGAAATGTGTGTATCAGTCCGTGTGTGTGTGGGGGTGTTTGGTTGGAGCTCTCTGCCCCCCGGAGCTGTGGTTATACGCTGCTGTCCTCCAGCAGCGGCTCCTTGCCCTCGGCCCCGCTGCCCTGGGGGCTGTGGGAGTGACTCTGGGCCCCGTTGCTGTGCTTCTTGTAGGCCCCGGGCCTCCCACCGGGCCCCGTGTGCTCCGGGATGAACAGCGCCACCAGCAGGGACAGCAGCACGGAGCACGCACCAAACAGGAAGGGGGGGCCTGGGATGATGGAACTCTGAAAGAAAGACAGAGAATAATCAAAGTCAACTTTATTGTCAATCTTCCAGTTTGTGTGTACAGACGGAGAGATCGAAATACCGTTTCCCACAATCCCGAATATAAAAACAAATGTATATAAAAATATGTGTGCAAATATGAAGATATATAGAATCAAAGACACATTTTTACATTAACATTAATACCTAAATAAAAACGCAACAATCAATATATACAAAATAACAGTCACTTCACATCCTGTTTAAAGGGACAGTTCACTACGAAAATCTAATATAGATACTAGGGCTGTCAAACGATTAACATTTTTAATCAGATTAATCACAGCTTAAAAATGAATTAATCATGATTAATCACCATTCGAACTATGTCCAAAATATGCCATTTCTTTATGTATATTGTTGTGGGAATGGAAAGATAAATGAAAGAAGGCGGATATATCCATTTAACATACAGTATGTAGCCTATGTATGTTTATTATAACATTGTTCTGTGTGTCAAAATGAAAGACTGTAGAAAGAAAATGGTTCTTCCATAACATTTTTCACAACAAGATCTGTGGACTATGTTGAGTAACCGGTTCCTGTTTTCTAGAAAGAGCTGTATTTATTTTTTGACCACTTTAAGCACCACAAGTGCCATGAATTAACATCATATTTGATAGAAGACAGACATAACTCCGAGATTCACACCAAAACAATAATAGCACTACAGGTATGAGACAAATACGTTTCTTATTTTGAGCAGCTGTCTCTTTAAGTACAGCTTCAATATGTGCAACATATGCTTTTATTGTGTAACAGTATTGTGCAACTACCTCATCAGTGGGGTTGGCCATGTTTGGTTTGCCACCTTTCTCGGTTCCGTCTGGGTCCGTCAGCTCCACGTGGAACAGGTAGAAGACAAAACCGTAAAGAGCGGGGCCCAAACCGTTACAGAGGCCCCGGATTCCAGTAATCATCCCCTGGACAACTCCTACAGGCAGACGCATAGAAACACAATGCTGTCAAGATGATAGATGCTACATTTCAGAGGCCAAACTGAACATCTTCATACGTCTTTGTGACTATAAAAAAAGTACCTAAATGCATTAGTCACATTTTGTACTTTGTGTTTCAATCATTTAACTTATTTAAGACTTTTTTACTTGAACAGAAAGGTTATATTAATTAAAAGATCACATATAGCACTCTGTTTAAAGAAAAATAACACGTATACATGCTTAGTTTAACAACAAGATAGAGAAAAGGTGAGTTTACCTTGTTGGTCGGGGTCTGCGTTGCGGGACACGATGGCGCTGATGGCGGGGAAGGTGATGCTCGACATGGCTGCCACCGCTCCAGCAGCCCACATCATCCTACAGCCAACAACACACATTTGTTAAGGATAGCTTTATTCAACCTTTCAAGAATTTGATTTGTACATGTTCTTTAAAAGGTGGATGAAAGGTTGGTACACAGATTTTGGTTAAAACCGTATGTGTAAAAAAAACATATCTGAATAAATTGTCAAATATTCACTTCAATTTAACAAAACTGCTATTATTAAATCCTTTATTTGTCCCACAGCGGGGACATTCACTAATAAACAGGGACCGAGAGGACATATTCCAAAATGTCATTGTCACGAAAAACTAAAACCGTGACAATGTTTTGTATTTCCATCATAAACTTGACTGCTTTAAAATTCTAGAAATTCGAATGATAATCCCAAACAGACACTAGACAGAGGAGATTGTTTATATTTTTGAGAACAGGGAACAGCTTGACCTTTAATCAACCTAATTTCCTGGGTATTGACCAAAGCAGAGCGGAGGAGAGAATGTTTTCCTTCAGGATCAATACACATTGTGGGTCACTCCGACTTCTCGGTCAAAACAACAAGAGAAACTGACACAGTTGATATGATCTCACTACAAGAGAAGTGAAACTGATAGTGTGGCCTGTGTGTGTGGGTGGGGGATTTTTTTTATAAAACCCACAATTTCTCCAAGTTACAAGTGAATGAACACAGAAGGATTAGTTTTACTACTATTTATTTTGCCATACAAAGGCATGTTTGAAAGGCGATTCATCTCAAACTGTAAGGTCAAAGACAGTTAAATGCCTGTGCACATGTAAAAAAAAACAATTACGCAATAGTCAAACTAAAGGTTTCAAGTTACAACACTACACTATCAGAATAAACTATCACCAGTATCTGGTTACAGTGCTGTGGATTGAGGCTATGCTTCCCTCTGGTGGTTTGTCACGGTATTACAACAACAACATATTTTAACGCAAAACCATTGACATCTAGATTTGAATAGTTTCCATTTCAGTTTTATATCAGACCGTACTCTTTTAAGGAATCTCTCTTTACAGTAACAAATCAACAAATCAACAAATCAACAAAAAAAGGCAGAATTTTTTTTTTAAAATCCTTGATTTTCTATTTGACTCCAAAGGTTAATTTATGTGCTATGCAGAAGTTATTCACCTTTTCCCTGGGGTTGAACGAGCCATAACTCACTTAGTCACAGGCATTATGACTATGACTGCAGTATTGCACAATGTCGCAGGAAATGTTAGTCATGTTAGCCAAACTTCCTTCCTTCCTTCCATTATATTCACTGACTGATTACATTTTATTTCTTACATCAGTACTCACTTTTGTAAACCTTGCCAACTCATTTGAAACCTGAGCTCAACTTCACTTTTGGGAATCAATAAGTGGAATTGAAAACCATATTTGTATTGTTTTTAGAATATTGGGTCTTTGACTTGTAAATATAAATAAAAGTAGTGGAAAGGTGTGTGTGTGTGTGTGTTTACTGACCAGGGCTGAGAGCCGAAGCCGTACCACGCCAGCTGGAGGATCTGGAAGCCCAGGCCCAGCAGGATGGTGTTCTTGTTCCCGATGGAGCGCATCAGGACCCCCAACACCACCGTCTGAGGAAACACAGAACAAAGGTCAAACAAGAGACCTCAAAGAGGCATCGAGTCATTTATCAAAACCTTTTCAATATTTTTTGTAATCACTATTGAATCTTATATGGACAGAAAGATGATCTGGAACAACGTTAAAATGAAATGTCAATTGTTTGGATAGCTTTACCACCTTTGTCTTCTGTAATGGCACACTGAAAAACGAGTTTTTTTTAGACAAAATAAGACAAATGAAGACTGTCTACTGTGTCCACACATCCATCACATGTATGTCTGTTATCTGCTGCTCTTCCCACAGCTTTATCCTTTTTTGTTATTTCTCCTTTGAATGGAAGTTCTTATTTTAGACTTCAAATTAGAACTCGGGTTCTGGGATTTTGTGAATTCTGAAATATTTTACCCTTTTCTGCCGTGACAAAAAACACAATAATAACAATACTAAAACTCAGAACATGAGTATGACTCCTCAATATCACATGTAATTCTACAGCAGAAGTGTATTTTGTCATACCTGGGCTATTATTGAGAGGATCCCCACGACAGCGATAAAGGCAGCGACTGTCTCTGGTGTGAAGCTTATGACCTGAGGGTGAGAGCATTCAGATAACACAAGTAAGGACGTGAAAAGACAAGCATGCAGAGACGAGCAAGTATCTCAAACACTAAAACTAAACCTATTTCTCACAAAACAATGGACAAAAAGTATTTGTATTTGGCCTTATGTAAACACGAGATGTTGACTATTGTGTCTTGGAACAACAAAGGTGCTCGGCTTTTTCCTTCCCTTGGATTTAGGTCAAACATGATGCTCTTTATCCACTTTAATAGTATGTATAATTCATTGCAATGAATGTGGAGAGATAAATGGCATAACTGGAACCGGAAGGCGTATAGAGTAATGCTAACAGCAATCCTTCAGAACTAGTTCTCTTGAAGGATGGTCGCAGCAGAGAATGCGCTTCAGACTCCCCCGACTGGTTCTCCTGACACGGTTTACACAACCTAAACAATCCTCTCTTCAGCAGATTGCGAAAGGACATTAAATCAGTTTGTCTAGAAACCGCCTGCTGCTTCCAGATGATACTCTCCATTTTTTGGCTCGTTGTGGTTTTAAAATGTATTTCCTGCGGTTGCATTTTGCTGAGACGCCTTGTAAATGTGCTCTACGTATACACGCTGAAACTGGCTGCTCAGCAGATCTGCTGATCCAATCTTAAAGTGATGTTAGCAAAAGTGTGTGTTGGACAATCCCCCCACCTCAGTTATACTTCGACGAGCTTTCCAGTAGCAATTTAAGTCTTTTATTAGAAACAACAATGGATAAAGTAGGATGCTGCTGCATAAAATACCACATTGCAATGTCCTCCGTATGGAAACCCAACTTGAGCTGAGAACGCAGTTTTTTTATTTTTGAATATCACCACAATCATTGTGTAATTCATTTTATAATATAGTTAATCTGTCCGGTACCATAAAGTAAAGAGCTGTTGGTGTTGACATGAAAACAAGTTGAAGCTAATTCTTTAAATGACACTTTTAGGTCACTTTTTGGATGATTAGGCGATATTACATGTGTATAATCAGTCTTTTTGTAGAAAAAAGGTAAGCCGGGAGAGCAGTGTGTTACCTGTCTGAGATAGAGGAAGAAGCTGGAGTACTGGCCGGCCTCAGGGAGGTAGGAGAGAAACACTGTGATACAGATGAGGAGCACTGTGGGGTCCTGGCCCACCTTACGCAGAGACTGAGCAAGAGAACAGCACGAAGGATTAGGCTTCATTTGAAACATGAGCAATGTTAGTGCACAGAACAAGGACTGTGGAATCTGTCCCCAAGCACTTCCATTGGATTAAAACATATATTTGAATGGCCAGTATCACAGGTAGAACTATCAAAGCAATCAACATGGGTTTCATATTCTGTGAAACCAGTAACTCCTATTTTAAAAAGAGAAACTTAACACCCCATGGATACCTTTCATTTAAACTCTTTCCTGTATAACACATGTATAATCCAGAAGCCCCTTAATCAGATTTTCTTTATCAAAATATACATTTAGGCAACAACAAACCCAAATGATAAAGTAACAACTCATCCCTAAAGCTACAGCATTAGTCCATTATTCAAATGTATTCATTACAAAAAGCAATCTGTTATGCATCATTGTGTTGCTATGCAGGAATGAATTATTGAATAAAAGAATTGTTCTTTTTTTCTGATTAAAATAATTGTGTTTCTGTGGGCGATGTTTGTTCCCAGCATGATTTGCTACAACTTATAATATTAATGATGTAAGTAAGCTTCCATTGAATAAATTAACCATACATTATTATCCCATTTTATTCCAATAAATACTTAGAGCTGATAAAACAAACTGCAATGAACTGCTGGTCCTTTATTTTTGATTAACCCATGTGTTACACTGGGCCATGTATCTGTACTCACAGCGAAGGGGTCTGCCTGCTCCCAGGAGATGGGCGCCCCCCACGATGCTGGCCTCATCTTCTCCGGCAGAGACTCCGGCACGGCCACCAGGATGAAGCAGATATCGAGCAGAGCGATGGCCGTGGCCAGGATCACCACCAAGGTGTCGCCGTATTTAACGGACAGGTAGGCTCCGATGGCCGGGCTGGTGACCAGGGAGGCTGCAAAGGTAGCCGAAACCTGGAGGGGGGGGGAGCTCACGGTGAGACAAACAGGAAGTGATGGATCCGTATTGTCAGGCTGTTGTCTTTGATGACTCTTGGCTTAAGGACTCAAAACAGACACGGGCATGATTCTGTAATGATAACTGCCTCCTAATCATTTCTGAGATGTTTACGTCGATTTGGATAGTTTTCATCTGTGTTATAAGTATGATGGCTGTGCCCAGTCAAAGGATGGTTTTCCTCACCAGTATGATGAAGTATTTTCACACAGACCCAACAATGTGGTGCTCTATAAGCTCTATAAGCTCTGCAAATTGGAAATGATAACAGCAGTATTTATATGCAGGAATATAGAATTCTAGAGAGCGTTGTCAATTGTTTTTAGCTTCTTAACGTTTCTTCACGCGCCGGTCTAAAGTATGCACAGCTGCTGTTAGGGTGACATACTTTACCCCATCCGTCATCTAGCGTTGTTATTCAGCTGCATATTACTCCAGTGAATGAAATAAGTGATCAATTATATCCATTTCATAATCATTTTAAGCTTTAGGTAAAGTCATTAAAATCTTGATTTCTCAGTTCATGGAAAGGTTTGTTGAAGAATACGGTAATAATTTATGAGATTAAGGGCCTAATCAAAATAACTATTTTTGTCTTCAGCAATCTTGAGGTACAGTCATAGTTATAAATACTACTTTATATAACGATTTGAACAGGACCCTATTTTGTTTCCTTACCAAACCGTATGCTGTGCTCCTCTCATGCTCTTGCGTGATATCGGCCACGTAGGCAAAGATCACAGAGAAGGTGACGGCGAACACGCCGGACATGGAGATGACTGCAAAGTACCACCTGAAAGAGGAAAGGAGATTCGATTATCAATATAGAAACAAACACAAATGATAAAATGCAACCTTATAGTTAATGAATAATCTTTGGAGCTTTAATTTATTCACTGTTAGAGTGGTCTGCGTTTTGCACTCACCATGGGCTGATCTTCATCAGTGGAATGGGTGCACACGTGAAGAAGACCGTTAGCAGCAAGAAGGATTTGCGTCCCCATACGTCTGATAGCGCTCCGATCAGTGGAGCACTCAGAAATGATAATAGACCCTGCAGAGGATGGAGAGGAGAGGATGGGGGAGGACATGGGGGAGAGAGGGAGGTAAATGTATCTGAAAAGTGCTGTTAATGGATAACTTGAGTAAAGCTACCACTTGTAGACTAACAGGGACGCTGATTCGAGTTCATGAACATATTCAGCGCAATGTACAAAACATATCTATAATCTAGATCAGTGGTTCCCAACCTGGGGGGCGCGCCCCCCTTGGGGGGGCGCCCCCCTTGGGGGGGCCCCAAAGATCGCAGGGGGGGCACCAGGCCTCAGATGATTTGAGGCCAAATATCATATTTAGACTTTTTATTTAATGAATTTTTTTACATATGTAAAGCAATACATGATTGTCACTAAAAGCCTTGTCTCTACATTACAATAAAATATAAAAAATAATTGATTAATTTGAATAACAATTCAAGCTAGTAGCTATTAAAGGCATAAAAAGACAGAAATGTATAATTCTTTCTTTAATAGAAATGTTTCTTCTGCCCGTAAAGTGTCCAAACCAGGCTTGTCTGGATAAGCGCATTTTTAAAACATAGTCATTGTCCATGCCGGTTTCAGTTGGAATATTTGTCAAAGTTGCTCCGATCAGATCGGTCTCCTCCATTTTGTAGATTATTTACGACTTTTGAATCCACATAAACACATCGGCAAAATCCGGTTTACTTTGAGCATGTGTTTTAAACAGTTGAATCCCTTTGTGAATTGTTTCCACTTCCTCGCCGTCCTTTAAATTTCTTCATATCGCAGGAATCCAAATAAATTAATCCTGAGTCCAATAACCATCAAAGTCACTCAATAGTGCTCCTTAATTACGCTTTCATCCTCCTTTAACAAAATACTTCACATTCATCTAGTTTGTGACAGTAGTTGTAGCATTTTGTAAACTTTAATTACACCATGTGTGTGTGTTGGGGGGGGGGGGGGGGCAATAGCGGTAATTAAAGTTTACAAAATACTACAACTACTGTCACAAACTAGATGAATGTGAAGTATTTTGTAACTTCCAACAGGAGTCATTTGGGGGGGCTCTTGGGAAAAAAGGTTGGGAACCACTGATCTAGATCTTGTGGCTAGCTCGAGCTGAAAATCAACATCAGTGACACATGTCAAACTCTAGCTGCAGTTTGTCATTTAAGCCCCTGTCACACTGTCCCGAAATTGACACCCGATGGACACACGAATATGGAATTGTGAATTTCGCACGAAGATGGCCCCGAACCACACACGAAGGCAACATTTACATTACATTTAAGACATACAACTGCAATGAAAGTACCAAATACAATTGTGTTACAGTACTATGATACTGTACTGATATCTTCAGACTTTGTTCTTTACTTTATCCGTCTTTATATGTAGAAAATATTACGTTTTCTCCGTAATGTTGTTTCCATAAAAACGACAACTTCCTGTCAACTGTCCTTCAAAATAATATATTATATCCTTTTAGTTTCACAGAACACAAATTGGGTTATTTACATAATATATTTACATGATTTTGTTGTGCAATAAAACAACCCGATGGACACACGATAAAGGAAATGTTCAAATTCGGCTGTGATCGTAGCAACATCGGGCCATTCGTGAGGGCATCTTAAGCCATCGTATGACCGCCGGTGGAGTTTCTCAGGCTCCGGCAGCAACTTCGTGAGCGGTGGCAAAATCTTTGGCATGCCAAAAAATTGCCGAAGGACCTTGCGAAGGTTCATTTTCGTGTTGAATTCGTGTGTCAATTGTGCCCTTCGTAAGGCCATCGTGAGGGCATCGTGTTATCATCGGTGCCATCGGGCATTCGCCCCGATCAGAGTGAGGGCGAATGCACCGATGATAACACGAAGATGACACGATTTGACAAGATGCCCTCACGAGTGCCTTACGAAGTTGCCGCTCACGAAGTTGCTGCCGGAGCCTGAGAAACTCCACCGGCGGTCATACGATGGCTTAAGATGCCCTCACGAATGGCCCGATGTTGCTACGATCACAGCCGAATTTGAACATTTCCTTTATCGTGTGTCAATTTCGGGACAGTGTGACGGGGCCTTAACTGACATTTAAGCTACCAGTGTCTGTTGTTGGACTTTGATGTCTTGTGTCACCAAGAAATTGTAGTTAGTAGTCTGCAATAAGAAATCCTTTACATTGATATATGGACAACAGATTGCCATTATAGTTATGTTTTGGTCACTAATATATTTGTCCTCTTAATTCTGCTTGTTCACAGTGTTTCTTCCTCAGAGAATTTCTTTATTTCATCCATGTGATCACAAGAAAAAAGCCCAGAAATAATTACAAGCGTGTACTCTCCAACTATGTTTGGACACACTTCCCCTAAATAAAGATCATTAAGGTGCACTCGAGGCCCTTCGCTGTGTGTGCTCTCGTTTGCTACTCAGTCTCCAGCTGGGGAGCGGCTGCTGTTACTGGACAGCTCGCAGGTGTTAACATGTAAATGCCTTTTCTGTTGAGCAGGGCGTCGCTGAACAAGAGCACACAGGCTCAGCTAATCATCCAAGGGCAAATAAAAGCAAGATCAACACGCTGAAGAAGAATGTTAGTTAACAGCAAGAGCAGTAGTAAAAACTGAAATGATGCTATTAATTATGTTGTTGTAGACAATAACTGAAAAACCCCACAGTGAACACAAATGTAGTCATAGCACAAGGATACAGCTTGGTATTAGGATGTTGTAATAGTCGTAATAAGTTGCCAACATGCACACAAGAATCTGTTTTTGCATATTTGAATCATGATTCGTCAACACAGAATATTGTGTTTGTGTGAGCTGTTGTCTTACCTTGACCCCATGGATGAGCCCATTCATCAGGAATGTGTGTTGTGGGAATGTCTGGTGCAATACCTGAAAACCAAACACAGATAACGCAACATGAAACCAATTTATGAATTTATGCAAACAGTCTGCATCACATTTCAAACAAGGGATTTTGTACTTTGTAGAGTTAACTAGTAAGCATGAAAAGTGTGAAAATCGAACAAAAGCGATGGACCATTAATTCACTCATTGAGGCCGATGGCATTAAAGTAGACACTGCAACAACAACTGTTAAAGTAAAGGAAACATATTTTACATTATGGAACATACATAGTATATTTGATGTGTTTTCTGAAACGTTCCACAGGGACATGACATGGGATGGGTATCGTTTGAAATTTATCGATTCCGATTCTGCTTATCGATTCCGGTTCTACTTATCGATTCCGGTTCTGATCGATTCCCCGTTTCGATTCCAAAATTGTAAAAGCAAGAGGTCAAACGTTTAGATAACAAAAATATCTTTATTCTTTTAAGCTTTAACTGAAATTGTTACAAATAAAAAATATACATGCAATACAAATGTGTTGCACAATAGCTGTGCTTTATTTTAACTGAGCTATTCCTGTGGCAAGCTATTAACAGGCATTACACTGTGCCTTGTCTTTTTATTTTTTAGTGTCGTGGAGCCTCACTTTAGAGCGTTTACCACGACCCATCTTTGGTGTTATGAAGTGACTGAGCTTGTGAACTGTATACGGGAGGGCGGGGGGAGCCTCGCTGCGGGGAAACTGTGGACCTCTGTCGCCGCAACTTACATGATGCCGTTTAAAAAAAATGAAGGGCGGTGCGCCCTGTATTCCACCGGGTCACCGCGGTGCAGACGGACCCGCTGGAATACAGGGTCTACCGCGCTTAGGAACCGTTAAGCAGAACCGAAAGTGTGTATTTTGTATGGGTACCCGGTACCCGGCATTTTATTATCGGTTCTCATCTGGAACCGAGTGTCGGTTCCCAACTCTAGACATGACCCACATATAAAGAATCCTTAAACTGGTTAAGTTGGTTTTATTCTGTATAAAACCTTTAAAACATCATTGGGAAACCATATAATAAGCAAAACAAACACTGACATGCAGATAAACGTTAACTGTTCAAAGCATATAAAACAATTGTGTATTTGCTGAATACTTAATACATTCTCTTTTTTTTTCTTTATATAAAAAGCCTTTAAAACTATAAAATAATATATATCAGGCCCCACCAAGTGAATTTAAATCCAAAAGAGACATTTTCATTGTGCATATTATTTTCTGTCTTTGGTTGGTATGCTCAAGACCTGTGAAACATTCTGTGCAAAGCAATTTACACAAAAAACTAAATTCACACTATACTAATTGCACCCAGGGGTGAAAGGCTACATGCAGCAATGCAGTTCAGAAAGGACCATAATTCAGTGGTTTCACCCGTTTCAAACTGCTGTTCCCTCTGAGAAGAACATTAATACTTTTAGTACGTACGACAGTCCAAGCGTGGCCACGGACACTACAGAGCGTATTCATCTTGATATAAAGGACAGTCAGGCCATAAACTGAGGAGCTGAGTAATCCATCCATCCATCCATCTTCTCCCGCTTATCCGTGGTCGGGTCGCGGGGGTAGCAGTTCCAGCAGAGAGCCCCAAACTTTCTTTTCCCTGGCGACATCAACCAGCTCTGACTGGGGGATCCCAAGGCGCTCCCAGGCCAGCGAAGAGATATAATCCCTCCACCTGGTCCTAGGTCTACCCCTTGGTCTCTTCCCAGCTGGACGTGCCTGGAACACCTCCCTAGGGAGGCGCCCAGGTGGCATCCTAACTAGGTGCCCGAACCGAGCTGAGTAATATGGTTAATAAAAATGGTGTGCAAAATAACCTTCCTATTTGTTCTCATGGTATCAGATCATCTTAGAACATTTGACTTACAGTGACACCCGTTTGTTGGCGTCTAGATGACAAACTGTCGTGCTGAGAAACTGCTCTGGTACTCCGAGAGTAAATACCCTTTCAAGTCTGCACAATCCTTTTGTCTGAATTGTTCGAAAATGTTTTTAATATTCTCAAAAAACAGGAAGTATGGAGTTGGGGAGGGAGGTCATATTCTGAGAGAAAAAACAACTCAGATTTACCGAGATTAAAGTCATGCATTACAAGAACTTAAGTAATTGCTTCACTTGCCAGGTTGAATAATGGAGAACGGTTATATTTTTGAGCATGCTTGGTTTACTGTGCTTTCCCGCAAATAAAAATAATCCTCAAGTATTTCAGGAAAAAATAAACCAGAAACTCTGTTCCTCCAATACCGTATCTTAGTTTGAATACAGAAGAGAAAGACGTGTTTAGATGGTAAAAAATCATTGATATGTTGTTCAGTTCAAAGTCCATATGTCTGTGTGCAGCAAGCATAGAACACACTGCTGTGGGAACATGGAGCCTCGGTTTGAATGAGAACATGTGGAGCTCGACTGAATAACAGGTTCTGGTTATTATGTAGGGTTAAAAAGAGGAAGCTTGTGGCATGGCTAAGAATCTCCTCTGTTCCTCTGGGAGTCAGCTACCCAACACACACTGGCTGAGAAGGCTCAGTGACGGCTGTTGCTGCTGGATACTAATGAAGCAGTGCGCTCATTGGGAGCAGTGAAGCAGACCCTCTCATCTTCAGGCGCCCTCTGATTAGTCCAAAATGCAAATCCTCCCTCCGCCCAGGGATCTTAAGGGCAACAAACCCCCAGTAATTAATGCTCAACAGTTACACATACAACCACCTCTTCAAACAACAGTCTGCACTGCAAAAGCCTGTCTGGTTAACATCATCTGGCAAACAGATGTCTGCCCACCATTTGTTTGGGACACTAGTTTCAAACAAAGGTAATTTATTGTGGTAGAAAACAAATATTTAGGCTAAGAAACCCTTATAAATATCGAGCTTGGGTGAAAAATGAAAAAATGTGGTGCCTGAAATAGAAAAACTATTAATACACGATCCCCTGCTAGTGTGAAATAAAGCATGTCGTCACTATCAGTCACCTTAGCTCTTAGCTTACAATTAAGATCAGTTTTTAAAGGAAATAATAATCCTTGTTTTTCCAAATTGGTTGATCTTTTGGTGCGAACATTTTTCAGAAAGACAGGTGACATTTAAGAATACAAGGAATTGAAATAATGCTGTTTGAGTTGCCTGTAGCAAATACGTACACCCCACCACTCGCAGAGCACAGTGAGTGCGTGGTTTGCTCGTCGGTATCACTGCTGTGGCCTGACAACACAAACCAGTGACCCCCTGATAAGCCTTTTCAACAAAGAACTGGTGCTCAGACAACACAACTGTTTGATGCCCTTTTCATATTTCTCAGCCTTGACAAAACATCTGCTAACACACACGCAAAAAAAACAAAACTGCGTCACACAAGGCTCATTGGATTAGGAGTTCAATCATTCATAGACACTGATGGGCCTGGTGGGATTCCAGTCAATGGAAAACTCTCTGGCTAAGCTTCCAGAGAGGAGAGGTGTAGGCGTATTACATTACTGAAAGTTATGTCAGTTTACATAACAGTGCCTCGATGTTAAAGTGCATTGTGTCCAGGCTTACCGTGAGCATTGGGGTGGTAAGAAGACCCCATGCAAAAAACTCCAGGAAGATGACCACCACAGCATGGTAAACACTCGGCTCACCGATTCCCTGAGGCTGGATGGAGACAGAGAGGCGCATACAATTACAAAGATCATTAGCTGAGAAGCAACAAACATTTTTACAAGCATCAAATTGCCTGTACACATTAACATATCAAACTTTAAACTGGAATCCATTTCAAAGCAACGTCCATCTGATGACACAACACTCTGCATCAGCCGATCTGTAGGACCGCCCAGTCAGGAAATAGTGAGTGAGAAATATTTGTTCACTCTGAAACTGGAGGAAGTTTACACAGGGGAAGTTTTGACTTAGTCAATAAACTGCTGAATCTTCACTTAAAGAAGCCGCCACATCACATCACATCATGGCGAGTTGTTTTATTTGTCAATTTAAATACAAATCTTAAATTTAACTATTTCATGGCAAGATTAATTCAAAAGCATTCGATCACTGTGGCTCAATTAATTAAGTCATACATACTGTAAACTAAATTAATGTAAGACATTGGGCTCAACCATTTACATGACATTTTAGATAAATTGTCTTACTATAATTGAGACTATGATGACAATTGAATTTGATTGAGTACAAGAATATGCATTGCCTGTGTAGCAAGAGAAGATTCAATATATATAGGTTAAAGTGGCATCAGATTGAATAGCATATTTACTGGCAAACAACAATATTCATTCAAATAAATGTTTAACCCTTCAGCATTCAAACAACATGTCACAGGTACGAAGCAAAGTATTTAATCCAACAAGTAAACTATTATGTGCTATTGTTTACTGGGTAACTCCTAATACAAACATATCTATTTAAGAGCAAAAACACATTCTTTTAACTTTCATTCAAATGCAATACCTAGTGATTAGTGAAGTAGACACTTCACCACGGCACAGTAAAATCTAGACAAGTCTGTGAGGTGAAGACAAAGTGCGATGAAAAGTGAGCGTGGAAGCAGGATCTTTAGCAGGAAACAAAGCGAGGTGTGATCATTTTGGTACAGTCAAAGTAGGCGAGGTCCAACTTTACAAACTTTGCTAGTTTACTCGCTCATGTGGTTTGCCATTTCCCTATGTGGGGAGAGTAAAAGCATCGAGAAATAAACGCCTAGAGTTTGACTGATTGACAAGCAGTAAATCAGAAAGAACCCCGGCCTTTTGTTTAACACTTGCTAACCTGAAACTGTTGTATTATATGGATGTTGCAACTGAAATCCCAGCCAGCTGCATCTTTAGAGATCACATTTAGCTATCGACACCAATGCAACTAAGCCATATTAGATTGGTTGCTGAAAGTGAAATATTAACGGCTGAGTGGGCAGACCTTGATGCAGGAGTAAAGAAATAACTGTAATTTAAACTGAAGACCTAATTGGAACAGCGCCACATCATGTCAGGTGTTCAGACAGAAGGTTGTCATCATGAATACAGGCCCATTACAAAAAGGGAAAAAACAACCGTTTTTGTTCTCTTAATTAGTATTACAAGTCTGTGTGTCTTCATTTGGACACCCAGCTTGTTTGGCACAGGTTTTCATCTGATTACATAACCAGCACTGATGCCTCACTGTTTTCTTTATAACAATTCTACCATACTCACTTTTCTTTGCCAACTGTCTCATTTGGAACAATCATCACTTCCACCACCTAGTATTGGTTCACTGATCCTAAATTGCTTTTATTTTGGTCTGTCTATTAAAGAGGTTTGATGCTTCCAGGTAAGGGCATCTTATCACAGGTCACTATAGTAGGACTTCATCCGACCTTGAACACAGGTGTCAATAACCCAGACAATAGGGTATAAATGTGCCATAGACAAATATCTTTAAATTATGTTTAAAGATCATTGGCACCCGATTCTAAACCCTATATGGGTTATAAGCTTAGTTGCGTTACACAGCTGTTAATACAGTGGCAATTAGTATATTTGCTTTCCTGGTATGTTGACTTAAACGGTATGTTTGCTTGTTTTTAAACAAACACTACCAACCCTATCTAGCCTTCGTAAACGAACAAACCTAAAATATAAGATATCCAACAAGTTAGCTTACTTTGTTTCTTAAACCATTTGCTAGGTAATACATTAAGTATTTTAAACCCTTTATTTAATTAACCGTTGTTTACAACAGAACAAAAACACCCCACATAATATACACATATGCTAGTGAGCTAATTTTAACCTAGCCCCAGTTTAGTGATGCACTGTCACGCATAAAATCCACAATATTTGAACAAACGAGAGAAACCGTTAAGCATTAAATAGATAGTTTAAAGTAAGGTATCAAATATACTTTGGGCAGCAGAATTACTGTGAAAACCTCAAGAAAAACAGCTAACGTTGATATGAGCTAGCCTGCGTTACCTGAGCTGACGTGTAAACGAAGGCCGCTTACATTAGCCAATGGTAGCACACAGCTAGCTGCGTTAGCTAGGCGGACCCAGCTAATGGTTAACATTATCCGCTGGGACAAACCACCAAAGACACAAAGCCGTAAACAAAAGCCGCACCACTGTTTTTCTTGATATGACATGGGCTACTAACTTATTCAGAGGACAATAGTAAGATTAGCTCCGTGGCAAACTGGCTCAACGAAGATAAATAAATATTTAACTCACACTTCCTCCATCTTTTATTATAATTTTCTTTGCAAGAAGAATGCTGCGGTTCACCCGCTTTTTCTTCTTTTTCTCCCCCGTCATTGTTAACTTATGTCCATTCTTGGTGTCAGAGTGTCATCGTTGCAACTATCGAAACTAAAATAATATACTGATTTCGGCTACAAAGCTCATAACACATCGGCGGTTGGCTCCAGGAGACAGCTAGCAGTGAGCTAACTGATGATTCCTCCACCTCTCTTCCTGTACTAAATGTTGACCCGCCCTTCCAGGGCAACACCGCTCAGCGATTAGCTGTCTGATAAACGACCAGTTCAACCAGTTCGTCTGATTGGTTGAGAACAACGTTTGTGCAGTTGATCCTCAAATGGTGATTGGTGAACGCCACACCGCGGTTCTGTGTAGAAAGAGGAACTCCCTTATGAGTTGTTGTGTTTATAAGGAAAGTGTACAAGATGTTCAGCTACATCCGCATCCTTCAGTTTCTCCTTTCTTACACTCATTTTCAAATGTGTCTTTAAGTCTTTGTTAAGACATAGAAAGACATTCATAAATATACTTGTATGTTACTTATCTTACCACCAGCGTCAACCTAGGGATTGTATTATTATCACAAAGCCCTTATATTTAAACAACATTCAGGTCTAGAAACATTTTTTATCATGATCTCATTGACACAATGAAAAACATTCCTCACATGTAACACTTATTAAAATGGTAAACATTTCATGTACTTTTTTACAATATGCAATATAATAATAATAATAGATTTAATTTGTTAGCGCTTTTGCAGGTGCTCAAAGACACTTTACAGATATAGTGAAGATAAAATAAAAATAAAGGAACAACAAATAAATATATAGTTAAAGTTAAAGTCAAATAATACAAAAACAATCACACATTAAAAGCCAGATTGAAGAGGTGAGTTTTTGTACGTTTTTATGAAGGTGGTGAGGTCAGTGCAGTCTCTGATGGGTTGTGGGAGTGAGTTCCAGAGGGAGTGGGCAGCGACGGAGAAGGCTCTGTCCCCCCAGGTCTGGCGGTGATTGATGCGGGTGGGGATGGATAGGAGGTTGGCTTCTGATGAGCGGAGGCAGCGGGAAGGGGTGTGGTGGTGCAGCAGGTCTGTGAGGTAGGGGAGGGGAGGGGGGGGCCTGATTGTTGAGGGCTTTGTGAGTAATGAGGAGGACTTTGAAGTTGATTCTTTGACGGACGGGGAGCCAGTGGAGGTTCTGGAGGACGGGAGTGATGTGGTCTCGGGAGCGGGTGTGGGTGAGGAGGCGGGCAGCAGAGTTCTGGATATGTTGGAGTTTATTGAGGAGGTTGGATGGTATGCCGTAAAGCAGTGCTTCTCAAACTTTTTTCAGTAATGTACCCCCTTTGAAACATTTTCTCAGCCAAGTACCCCCTGACCGATCCCGAACATTTTTGATCGAAAAAGCCTATATAAATAATTACAATATAGTGATGTTCCCTCAGTGTGTGATGTATGTATCAACATCGGCACCTCGGTTGTTTCCCCGACTCAGACTGCAAGGAATCTGGGTGTGACCCTAGATAACAACCTGTCCTTCACTGCAAACATCGCTGCTACAACCCGTTGCTGCAGATACACGCTTTACAACATCAGGAAGATACGTCCCCAGCTGACTCAGAAAGCGACTCAGGTTCTGGTCCAGGCTCTCGTCATCTCACGCCTAGACTACTGCAACTCCCTCCTGGCTGGTCTACCTGCATGTGCCATCCGACCTCTGCAGCTCATCCAGAATACAGCGGCTCGTCTGGTCTTCAACCTTCCTAAATTCTCCCACACCACTCCGCTCCTCCGCTCCCTTCACTGGCTTCCGGTAACTGCTAGAATCCACTTCAAGACACTGGTACTTGCTTACCATGCTGCGAATGGATATGGCCCTTCCTACATCCAGGACATGGTTAAACCGTACACCCCAGCGCGTGCACTACGCTCTGCATCAGCCAAACGACTCGCTGCGCCCTCGCTGCGAGGGGGACCCAAGTTCCCATCGGCGAAAACACGTGGGTTTGCTGTCCTGGCTCCAAGATGGTGGAATGAGCTCCCCATTGTTGGAGTTTTGAGGTTTTTACAACCCCACTCGGCTCCGCGTGTCGTTTTGACGAGTCCTGCTTAAAATCATAACGGGAAGGAAATCAGACAGAGAACACCCAGATACCAGTTTAAACAATCTGTTTTAATTATCAAAGGTAATAATGCAATGCAATATAATACATTACAATACAATATAATACAATATACTACAATTATATTGTAATGTTTTAAGAAGTAGCCGGCCCACTTCTGCCCTGTTCACTTGCTGCGGAGATCCTTCCGTCTTGACAGCCAGAGAAAAGAGGCCGAACTCAGGAATCGACAGAACATATACCAGAAGATAGAAGGAAGGGGTGAGGTCAGCTGGTCATCTTTTCAGGTCCTCTCATTGGCAGACGCAAAATATGCTTTGACACAGTGACCCAGCGCTGGCCAGCAGAAAACCAAACGGGCCCATTTTACAACAAAACACATCTTATCACCCAAGTCATGTGTTTCTTTATGAAAGCCATACTTGTTAGGAATAAAACAGTCATTATCCCATGACATCCTCAGAACTAGCTCACCAACAACGCCTAACTGTCTTCATACCCCCCCCAATCATCTCTGAACTTTTATTCACCCGAAGAAAGCTCACCCTTAGTCTAAAAGGACCATTGTCTCTCTTAACTGTGTGACTAAATTCTCAAGGCCTGCAGGATGCGCACAATTAACTTAGGACGAATTTAGCCACTATATCTAATGGTTAACCAAGAAAAACACTCAAAAGGGTAATCTTTTCACTCAAAACAGAACTCACAAGTAATTCTGCATTTTACCCCTCAAAAATAGCCTAAAGCACCCTTTTGATGAAAAGGGTAAAAGTGAAAGAAAAAGACTATTGCGCTAATCTACTTTAAAGAAAAAGGGAACATTGTTTCAGGAATCTATAAAAAACCTCTCTATATTTAAGAGGAAAAATGTATTTTGTTCCTTCAACTATTAATACACAGGAATGTATATACCCACACATATTTTTAGGGATAACATGATGCAATACACCTCTTATATATTGGTGAGATTAAAATGAATATACCAAAAATATGCTGCATCACATCTTCTGCATAATACTCTTCATAAACTTTCCACACCATTGACATCAGGACGGCAGATAGCTTGCACATCTTCCGGCGCAAACTGAAAACTCATCTCTTTCGACTCCACTTCGAGCGTTAGAACTATTAACGAAGCACTTTTATACTAATAAAGGACTGGCTTACCTAAAGCCAGTTGAGTAGCACTTGAAATGTTTAGCTCTATGAAACCTGATGTACTTATATGATTCTGTTTTCTTCAAGGTTGTGTCTTCCTGGTCGAATGTACTTATTGTAAGTCGCTTTGGATAAAAGCGTCAGCTAAATGCAATGTAATGTAATGTAATGTAATTAACTCCTTCGTGGTATGCATTAAAACAAACTAAGGATATTTTTCATTTTATGCATGAAAAACAACAACATAACACTTTTATAAAACATATTTTTCAAAGGAATTTTTCAATTTAAGTAATATGTTATTGTGAAAAACTATAAAATACAATACACACATTTGACATGTTTATATGAGGACCCCCTTGGTGGTTCTAGGAATGTTTTATATAAAATTGTGTTTTCTATTTAACTTATTTTACTAAGATTCTTTTTTTAATTAACCTTTATTTTAATTTTAAATCTCACATACCCCCTGCAGTACCCCCAACGTACCCCCAGGGGTCCGCGTACCCCCATTTGAGAATCACTGCCGTAGAGGATGCTATTGCAGTAGTCGAGTCATGATGTGATGAATGCATGAATCAGGGTTTCAGCAGCAGAGGAGGAGAGTGATGGGCGGAGACGGGCAATGTTTTTGAGGTGAAAAAAGGCGGTCCTGGTGATGTGATCGATGTGGTGATTGAATTTGAGCTGACTGTCGAAGATGACTCCGAGGTTGCGGATGTGAGGGGGGGGGGAGATAGAGTGTGGCTGTCAATGGTGAAGTTGAAATTCTGGATGTCTTTGATACGGGATGGGGGGCCGATGATAATGTCTGATATATGTTCTTAATAGACATGTCATTGTCAAAGCTGCAGTATTGGTTGAAATGATTTGTTTTACAGCAGTAGACATTTGAAAAAGGTCAGTTTATTCATGTGTCAAAAGACGATTTCTGAGGATGCTCACCCAAATACGCATGATTCCTAACCCCTTATAAATGTACAGGCATGCATATTTATTTAAAAAACCTATATGTATTGACAACATGTTTACTTGGTGAAACTGCACAGTGACAGGTTAGTATTTTTCAGTCAGTCTTAAAGGCAGGAATATGGCCATTTGCCTTACAAGTGTATTGAATGAGTCAGTCGCAGCAGTCGATACCACAGGAATATTAAAAGCAGAAAAACACAACTGAAACATTTCATATGCACGACCATGCATTAAGAGCGAGCCCAAAATGCAATGGTTCTGTGTCTGTACAATAGAGAAGCACTCTGATTCTCCTATGCACATTTTTGGTACACTTTTCTACCCACAAACACCATAAAGTCCTATCATTTGCAACAGTGGATGAGCTCAAAATAATGTCCATTAGTAAAGGAGAACCTTGTATCCTCAAATGCTCCTGATCCCTAGCTTGTCACGCAAGTACCTACCTTTTTATAAAATGTAAAACTGTACAATTCTGAGATATGTTTAAAATCACACACAGTGTATTGTATATAAAGAGGCCAAGTCCTCATTGCAATTGGATCTTCTCCAGACAGTCCGTACATCTCGCATTAAATACATTTAAATTCTCAAGGCACTTTGTTTCCATAGCAGCATTGACACATGGAAAAGTCTATAAAACAAAGTGCACAGTTCTTTTTTTCCCAACAAAAGTCCAGGCGTGGTGTTATTCACAGGTGGGATATTCTTCATCATTGTCGATGTAAGGGATGTCCAGGTCGTCATAGCTCCCTTTGAAAGACTTGCTAATGATTTGCGGCTTGTCGTCGGGGGAGGGGCTATCTGGGCTGGGCCGGAAGCACATGGATTTTGTAGCATCTGTCTTTTGTCCTGGTGTGAACCCTCCCAACGCATCACCTGTCTGAGCCATCAGACTTCTCACTCTCTGCGCCAGGTCAGCAGGTTTCGGCGGGCAGTTGGGTTTCTGGGTTTTTGATCGCATGGTCAC